CGACCATCCATTAAACACGTTTGGTTGGATCATACCGTTGTGGTGGAGGATATATGGCTGATTACACGCTGCATTATGCTCCACCCCCTATGGACAGTGCGCAATAATGGTCTGTTCCTTCAACGTACACCACTGCCTCTAGTGCCTGCGCTTCAGGTCGTGTATACCGCGTTTAGTGCGCACATACGTGCATGTATACGCAAGGTGTACGATAGAGCACAGCAACCGTCTCTGCTGGTTGTGCTGTCTCAGCTTTGACGGTCACACTCGTTGGGAGCATTTATGCAAGCCAACACAGACCTTTTTGCTGGCGTCATTCACAGAAGTCTCAGTACGTTTTACCCGCTTCCAGCGTGTTTGCAGCCATTCTAGGGCTCAATTTATCTCAAACAAACAATGGAGTGTCCTAAAAAAGCCAACACCCTCGATACTTGATATCATTTTGACAGGTATATAATTTTTTAAGGGTGGAGTCGCATGTCAACATATCAAGTGTGAAATGTTATTTAATCTTGCAGTGGATCAATTTGGGGAGGGGGAATAAACTCTGGCATGTAATTTTGCGCCTCCATTTATGACTTCTTTTTCTTCAATTTGCCGCCAACCCAGCCCATAAAGACAACCAAAGCCAACGGATCAGCCCCAGCAGCGGGGCCTCCCCGGAGAACCCTCCAACCAAGCTGACGGGTCGGGAATCTTGACTAGACTGTCGTCAACTGCGCCCGAAAGGGGGACGGGCGGCCTGAGCCCGATTCCCGGTCTAGACGTTGCGGTTGAGGGTCTAAGGGTTGAGGCCCACCACAGGGATAACGTGGCCAAGGCAAGTCCGAGTTCCAGACAAGCCCCCGGCGCTGAGCCTCTTCGATGTCGCCCAACCAAGATGACGGGTCGGGATCTTGATTAGATGGTCGTCGACTGCGCCTGAAAGGATGACGGTCGGCCTGAGTCAGAATTCAGATCTGGGCGTTGAGGTTGAGGGACACAGGGGTGAGACCCACCACAGGGACAACGTGGCCAAGGCAAGTTTGAGGCCCCATGCGCTGGGGTTCCACCGAGGCCTCCTTCCAAGACAACCGGTCGGGAATCTTGACTAGACGGTCGTCGTCTGCGTCTGAAAAGGTGACGGGCGGCCTGAGCCTAATTTCCGGTCTGGACGTTGCGGTTGAGGGCCTCAGGGTTAAGGTCCAACACGGGGACAGCATGGCCGAAGAAAACTCAGGTTGACACCGGACGACGCGGAGTGCGTGTTCACCCTGGTCTCACCAAGACATACAATCTCTGTACAGAGGCGACGGTGACGCCGTATGCTGGCTGCAAGACGCCGGGCGTCGACCCTGATCCAGGGTGTGTCTACCATAGTCGATAGCGCGCAGCTATACACCCTCGTCAACGGTATGACGGGGGAGGAAGATGGTGACGTCCGCCTCGAGGCTATGCCTACAGTAGATGTTCTTCTTTAGCTGGACGAAATGTCCCTTGAAGAGTTCGGCAGTGCCTTGAAGGCATGCTATTTGGCCGAAGTGGTCATTGTACGATCGGACGAGGAGATAAACTCGTTATCGCTTCTGGATGAAGCTGTCTTGGATGACACCAAGAGAGTGCTGAACGCACGAAGTGGATCGTCGATCATACATAATCTTTTGGATCCGTACTATCCTTTGAAAAGGAATTTCAAGACGTCGTCTCCAAAGACCCGCCTTCAGTCCTACCCCCGAATCA